TTTTATTTTATTTTATTTATTTATTTTTTAATTTTTATTATTATTATTTTTAATGTTTATTTATTTTTGAGACAGAGAGAGACAGAGCATGAGCAGGGGAGGGGCAGAGGGAGAGAGGGAGACACAGAATCTGAAACAGGCTCCAGGCTCTGAGCTGTCAGCACAGAGCCCGACACGGGGCTCAAACTCATGAACTGTGAGATCATGACCTGAGCCGAAGTCGGACGCTTAACCGACTGAGCCACCCAGGCGCCCCTCAAATTACATTTTAAATATATATTTTTTAAGTTTATTTATTTATTCTTGAGACAGAAAGGTGGAGGAAGGGCAGAGAGGAAGAGAGAACCCCAAGCAGGTTCCATGCTAATAGCGCAGAGCCCGACATGGGACTTGAACCCACGAACCCTGAGATCATAACCGAAATGAAGAGTCAGACACTTAACTGACAGCCACCCAGGTGCTCCTCAAGCAACATTTTTAGGTAACAGGAAATATGCACATATATCTAAAATACATACTCTATGCCAGGTACCAAACTAAGTATAAATATACATTATCATATTTTCTTCTCCCCACCGGTCAATTAGGTGGTTTTTACTATTATACCCATTTTACACATGGAAAATTAAGGGTCAGAGAGGTGAGTTGCCCAGGATCACATAACTATAAAGTGAAAGAGCCTGGATTTGAAATCAGGCAATCAGATTTCTACTAGACTGCCATGTGCCCATTATTATTATTGTAAAAGTAGGTGTTTGATGCCATAGTTCATAAAAGAAATACTTTAACAACAAAAGATCCCTTTTTATTAAAATATATTAATATAGTATAACTGCTGTGTGTTACTGTTTTTGATGAGAAAAGAAAAGTAGTATGAAACTAAGGCTAGATAAAGACTTTGGGGCGCCTGGGTGGCGCAGTCAATTAAGCGTCCGACTTCAGCCAGGTCACGATCTCACGGTCTGTGAGTTCGAGCCCCGCGTCGGGCTCTGGGCTGATGGCTCAGAGCCTGGAGCCTGTCTCCGATTCTGTGTCTCCCTCTCTCTCTGCCCCTCCCCCGTTCATGCTCTGTCTCTCTCTGTCCCAAAAATAAATAAATGTTGAAAAAAAAAAATTAAAAAAAAATAAATAGAAAAATTAAAAAAAAAAAAAAAAGACTTTGGCAACTAAATGCATTGGCCAGCATTTATTTTTAAAACGTAATTAGTGCCATGATGACTTCCCATAATTATAAACATAGACTCAAGTCCAGAGTTAGCAAGCCCATTCTTGCTACCAGAGAGAAATGTGTACATTTGAGAATACTTTAGAAGTAGAAAAAATAATAATTTACAAGAAACTTATGCCCTTAAGTCTATATAGAGTTTATCTAAGAAAATTAATAGAAAATAAAATGGATTTGAAAGATAATTGGGTTGACCTGGCTTTTGGATTGGTTTTGCAGTCATCAAGGCTGGCCTTTAGAGCATCTATGGAAACATAGTTTACATGACATTTCTGTCTTTCCCTTGAAAAAAACATACCTGCAAAATTAAAACAGCAAATCCAATACCCATACTAAAGATAACAAGGACATTCTTTTTTTGTCACTTATTTGTGCATAAACTCTTCTATGTTAACTAGGAGTAAGTATGGAGTACAATTTTATTTCAGTGTAATAAATTAGTAAAAGGTAGGAAACTATGACTTGCTAAAGGCAAGAATTTATGGTTTGAAGAGACCACAGAGAGCATCTAGACCAATCACCTCAATTTACATACAGAGAAACTGAGGTCCAAAAAGAAGAAATGCCTTGATCAAAGTCCCGAGGACAGGCAAGGTCAGCTGATGCTGTTCAGATCAGAAATACAATCTTGATTTTGAAGACACTTAGCTGTCACTTCCAGTATTGAATGGTGGGATATACATTCAAGGAGGTATTCGTTCAAAGTTGGAGGTGAGCAGCTTTCATAATGATTCCGGGTTTGAGATATGTCAAATGAAATGTCATTTTCATTTTCTACTAACAGTGCCAGATTGGCCTCTCTTTTTGGCCTGGATCAGGCATCTGCTGGCCACGGAAATGAATTCTTCCAGTACACAGCCCCAAAGCAGCCTAAGAAAGGCCAGGGAACAGCAGCAACAGGTAAGTTATGAGGTTACGATTGGCCCCTAACAGGTTAGTTGGAAGGATGAACAGCCTTCCAAAAGTGACATGCCTCAATCAGTCTGGCCAAGCTCACCGCCAGCGGTGCATTCTCTCTCTAAGCTCTGAGATCGAATTCCAGCAGCTAGACAGAGTGTGTCCTTTGTCGGAAGTTAATGGAGGGAGGTCTCAGGCAAACTCTTACCTCCTGTGAACAGCACTCTCTAAAACTGCCTGAGGCACTCTAATGTGCCTGAGGCACGGTCCAATGTTTTGGTGAAAAGGAAGAGCTGCTTTTCACTTCTTTTACCTGGATAGGTTAGATGTATCCTGACAGTGAATTTTTCCCAATTAGACAGTGGTGCTCAGTGCTATATCCCCCGTACCCTTCATCGTGATGGAGACGCACTGAATGAACATTTGTTGAATGAAAGGAGAGAAAAGGGCAACTAATATTCTAAAATGCCTGCTGTGTGTCTGGTCTCAGATGCTTTACATAGATTGCCTTGTTTATTTATCTCAACAGTGCTGTGAAATAGGTAAGACTACCCCCAGTTTAGAGGCTCAGAGAGGTTTAGGGACTCCATCAAGGTCCTACAGCAGTAAGTGACATAATTGAAATTTGAACCCTAACCTGATTCACTCCAAAGCTCTTCCTCTATACTTTGCTTTCTTTGAGTAAGAACCTGAAGAGGAATGAAGGACCAATAGAAATAACCCTAAGCAGAACAGATGGTAAGGGACATTAAATTAAGTGTTTCCTGAATGAAGATGAAAGTATTGAGTGCCTTTTACATACTAGGCACAATGCTGGCACTGAGGATGTTGTTGGGATATTGAGGGTTTTGAAGAATTGCAACGGATATCATATGGCCCATAAGCCTAAACTATTTACTGTTTGGCCCTGTACAGAAAATGTTTGTTGACCTCTGCTCTAAATCTGACCTGTCACTTTTAGAATCTTTGGTGTAGATTTCTGGTCCTGTTCTCCAAGCCATCACCTGGCCAGATTTCTAGTAGGCTATGCCTCTACATTTCCTCTGGCATATCTCTTCATCAGCAGTGTGATTCTGACTCAATTTAAAGTGGTTGAGTTAATGGATGTGGATTAAAATAAACAACCCCAGTCCCCACCCAATGAGGTAACTTGATTTTGTTTTAATCAGAAAACAACAACTATGAGCTAATTACACTTTTAAAGGGAAATTATAGAGGCATTTCAGCTTAAAAATTACCTACACAGTCATATGCAGGCACTTACAAAAATAAAGTAGCAAGACAGGAGACCCTGTCTGTTCAAGGGATATTTGTATAAGAAGTCTTTGTGGGGAAGGTGGCTGCAATACAGTTCTTGAGTCTCTTCAGATCTGAATGTAAAAACATCAGATACAAAAGACAAACCTATGGATAACATTTACAACAACACCTGTTGAAAAGGTATCTTCATGAATATCCCAAAATATAAGAAGGTCTGGACAAGCCACAAGGCTGTGTAGTATCAGCATTTGCGTGGGAGCATACAGGGTAGTGGTGGGATATCTCCATCAGAAAATGGGAGAACCCCAAGTAGCCACCAGATGTTCTTGGAAAATATGGCAGGCCAAGCTGAAACTGGAAGGCGTTTTGCCCACTCTAATTGTGGCTAAGTACAAGGGGTTGATAACGGGGACTGGAAGAGCTAGAGTAGTCTCACTCCTATGAGCTATTTTTTTTTTTTTCTTTTTAGAAGTAGGCTCCATGCCCAGCGTGGGGCTTGAACTCATGACCCTG